GACCAAACCGACGAGGATGACGAGGACTGTCTAACGCTCAAGGTACCCAGGGAAGACTACGAATGATGTTGTGCACTATAGAGGAAATCGCTTATTATCAAGCTCCTTGGGAAGAACATTCCTCTCTGGTTAATGAAATCCAACCTGGTGCGTCTGTGGAAGACTACACATCCTAATCGGACCAGAGACCAGACAATGGTTTTTATGTGGTATCTTTTGTTGGAAAGAGGAAAGAGGCACTGAAAATACTACTCTTTATTGATGAATATAGAAGCCTATATATAGGCCTACAATGACTTGGAGTCCACTCTATGACAAAAACTGAATATAATAATTAAAACAATGAAAGTGGAAAAGTGGGGGATATGAAACCGGATTACATGCGGGAATATTGGAAACTAACTTGACTTATTCAACTTTTCCAATTGAAAGTGACTTGGTCATTATATCTGCAACTTGCTCTTTTGTTCCACAACACTTCAATGCAATAACACCATATGCTACAAGATCATGAATGAAGTGGTGCCTGATGTCAATGTGCTTCATTCTGCCATGAAAAGCTGCATTCTTTATCATCGCAATGGCTGATTTGTTGTCACAATAAATCTCTGTTGCATCTTGTTGTGGTTGAAGAAAATCTGCCAATAATCTTCTAAGCCATACAGCTTGACAAGCTGCTGAAGTTATTGCTGCATACTCTACTTCAGATGAAGATAAAGCTACAGTATCTTGCTTTTTTGAGCTCCATGATATAGCACCTGAGCCAAGGGTAAAGACATACCCAGAAGTGCCCCTTCTATCATCAATAGAACCTGCCCAATCACTATCAGAGAAGCCAAATAGTTTGAAACTTGATACCTTAGAGTACCAAATTCCAAAATCAATAGTGCCTGCAACATAACGCATGATCCTCTTTATAGTTCCAAGATGGTGTTTTGTGGGATGATGCATGAACCTGGAAACAAGACTCACAGAATGTGCAATGTCAGGTCTTGTCTTACATAAATAATTCAAGCCACCTACCATACTCCTATACCACCTTTCATTCGCAGGTTTAGTACCATCTTCAGCTCTCAATTTTTCATTCACATTCATAGGAGAACGTGTCGTTTTACAGCCCAACATATGACATCGTTTGAGCAGATCTAGAGCATATTTTCTTTGAGAAATAAAAATACCATCAACACTTTGCTTCACTTCTAAACCAAGAAAATAATGCAATAATCCCAAATCTGACATCTCAAACTTCTGCATCATACTTGACTTAAAATCAACAATCATTTTCTTAGAAGATCCCATATAAATCATATCATCAACATAGAGGCATACCACTATAAAATCAGACTCACCATGCTGTTTCAAGTAAAGAGTGGGCTCATTATCACTCCTTTTAAATCCGTTTTCACGAAAATAGGAGTCAATTTTATGATACCATGCACGTGGGGCTTGTTTCAGGCCATACAAAGCCTTTTTCAGCTTATAAACCTTACTTTCTTGACCACTAACAACAAAACCTTCAGGTTGGGAAACATACACTTCCTCTTTCAATTCACCATTTAGGAAAGCAGATTTAACATCAAATTGAAACACAGGCCATTTAAGTTGAGCAGCAAAAGATAGAAAAAGTCTCACCGTTTCAAAACGAGCTACAGGAGAGAAGGTTTCATTGAAATCAATACCCTGCTGTTGAGCATAACCTTTTACTACTAACCGTGCTTTGTGTTTTTGCACACTATTATCAGCATTATACTTGGTTCGAAAAACCCATTTAAGCCCAATTGGCTTCTTGCCTTCAGGAAGATCAACTAGCTCCCACGTATCATTTTTCTTGATACAATTCATTTCTTCGATCATTGCATTTCTCCAAACTTGCTCTTTTTCAGCATCCACATAAGACTCAGGATCTGAGACAAAGAGAGCATAATTACATGATTCATAAATGTCAATCAAAGATCGAACCTTTCTAGGAGGAGTTTCACTTGAGGAGCTAGTGAATGAACTTGCTGGTGAAGATGTAATTCTGTCAGCACTAGAAGGTGATGACTATGGTGTTTGTGAGCTACTACCACCTGATGTAGATAACTCTAAACCTGTTTGATTTGGTTCAGAGTTTCCTGCTTCAAAACTTATTGGAACAGAAACAGATTTGTCATTTACCTTGCTACTCCAATTCCAACTAACTTCTTCATTAAAAACAACATCCCTACTAATAATTATCTTGCCACTAACTGGATTATACAGCCTATAAGCTTTGGATTGCAGGCTATAACCAACAAAAATGCATTTTTCAGATTTTTCATCAAGTTTTTGACGAGATGATTTTACCAAAGCATAGGCTATACAACCAAAAACTTTTAAGTGGCTTACCCGGGGCTTTACACCTCTCCATGCTTCATAAGGTGTCATGTTAGGGATTGCTTTTGTAGGAGAAAGATTAAGCAAATACACTGCTGTAGCTACTGCTTCTGCCCAGAACTGATTGGGAAGCTCTCTGGCTTTCATCATGCTTCTAGCCATTTCAACCACAGTTCGATTCTTCCGTTCTGCAATGCCATTTTGCTCTGGCGTATGTGGTGAAGTGAGCTCCCTGTGAATACCATTTTCTTCACAAAAGCTAGCAAATTCATTAGAACAAAATTCTCCTCCTCTATCAGTACGCGAAACCTTTATGCAACAGTCACTTTGCTTCTCTACAAGAACTTTAAATTTCTTGAAATTTTCAAATGCTTCAAATTTTAATTTCAAGAAATAGACCCAGCACATTCTGCTATAATCATCAGTAAACAACAGAAAATACCGACTGCCATTCAAAGACTTAGTATTCATTGGCCCACATAAATCTGCATGTATCAATTCAAGACATTGAGAAGCCCTCCAAAACTTCCCTATAGGAAAGGACTTTTTACTTTGTTTTCCAAAACACAGCCTTCACAAAAATTAATAGCATCAATATTTGGCAGCCCAAAGACCATATCCTTTTTACTCAACAATTGCAACCCATTAAGATGCAAATGACCATATCGTAAATGCCATAAATCAAAACTAGTAACTTCTTTAATAGTCAAAACTCTTTTTTCAACAGAAGAAATGTCAAGCGGAAACATTCTATTTTTAGTCATGGGAACTTTTGCAATTGTTTGACCAGACTTCTTATCAAAAACATCACAACAGAAATCATCAAATATGACTCTAAAGCCATTTTCCATCATTTGTCCCACACTCAATAAATTATTAGCCAAACTAGGCACAAGTAAAACATCATTCAACAACTTCTTTTTACCATGGTCATTATGAATAGCAATCATACCTCTACCTCCGACTTGAACTTGCTTATCATCACCAAGTCGAACATCAAATTTGTGTGATTCATCTAGCTCTTCAAACAATGAACGTGAGCTAGTCATATGATTGGAGCACCCGCTGTCAATAAACCATATATCTTTTGAAGATTGAGTGTTTGGGAATTGTGCCATAAACAAGGTCTCTCCCTCTGTCTCTGCAAAGTCAGCATGTTTTTTTTCACCTCTCTGCTTTGCCCAACAGTCTACCTCCTTATGCCCAAGTTTCTTGCACCAATGACATTGAATAGAGCTTTTATGAGAAGCTCCAGATTGCTGCTTTGGCTCATTCGATTGACCGCGGCCTCTGCCATTACCACGGCCTCTGCCTCTACCTCTTCCACGAAAACCACCTCTACCGTTTCCTCTCCTTGCAGACTCCCCCTTCACCTGAAAAGCCTGCTCTTCACTTTTCTCTTGAAATTGATTCATCCTGTCCTCATGAGCTTGCAAGGAACTCATTAATTCATCAAAAGAATACGTAGACATATCATGTGCCTCCTCAATTGCAGCAACAATAAAATTAAAACGAGGAGTAAGAGTGCGCAGAATTTTTGTAACAATTATTTCATTAGCAATTTTTTCACCATAAGACCTCATCTTATTAACCACAGAACTAGCTCTAGATAAGTAATCTTGTACAGACTCACTCTTTTGCATTCGAAGATTCTCAAATTCCTGACGAAGTGATTGGAGTTTTACAGAGATTACCTTATCAGAGCCCTGAAACTCAGTCTTTAAAATCTGCCATGCCTCTTTAGCCGTCGCTGCAGATGCGATTCTGGAAAAGAGATTATCGTGCACAGCTTGTTGGAGGAAAAATAAAGCTTTTGCATCTCGCTTGCTATTTTCCTTCAAACGTTGCTGGTCTGTTTCTGACTCTGAAAAACCGTCCTCAACTAAGTCCCATAAATCTTGAGATCGAAAGAGGGTCTTCATTCTAATCGACCAAAACTCATACTTGTCCCCGTTGAAAATAGGAATCAATGGTTGGGAGTTTGTAGAAACTCCATTAGATGTTGTAGAGATATTGTTTGCTGCCATCGTCACTGTCACGTTATTCAGAGTTGCTCAAGCGGAAGACGCCTAGTTGGTTTGAAGAAAGATGAAGAGAAAGAAAAAAATAAAAGCTGCAGTGCGATTTCAATTTTTCTCTCTCTGTCGCTCTCTCACAGAAGGCTATTTCACTCTTGCTCACGGGAATATAATTTCACTCACTCACTGTTCGCTACCTCACGGGAATAAAGAAGATCGTCACTGCAGGAAAGAGATGCTGCGTTGCTCACTCTCAAGATTGACCACTCCAAGGCTCTGGTACCACGATTGTTGGAAAGAGGAAAGAGGCACTGAAAATACTACTCTTTATTGATGAATATAGAAGCCTATATATAGGCCTACAATGGCTTGGAGTCCACTCCATGACAAAAACTGAATATAATAATTAAAACAATGAAAGTGGGAAAGTGGGGGATATGAAACCGGATTACATGCGGGAATATTGGAAACTAACTTGACTTATTCAACTGATAAAATAATAATAAAATAAATCAGCTACATGCACGTGAAGCATCATTCAACATCTTTTGACGATGAAGACGATATGAATACTATCTATCAAGATAGGCCGTGGATGATCGCCGACCAGTACCTCATTGTTCAACAATGGAGACCAAATTTCGATCTGTGGGAAGCCAAGGTTCAGAGAAGATTGCCGTGTGGGTTCATATACCACTACTCCTGTTACAATTCTTTAATATAGAGAGCTTACGAATGACTGGAAAATTGATGGGAAGAACGCTGAAAATCGACATGATCACGCATACAAGTGAGAGGGAAAGATTTGCCTGCATCTGCGTCGAACTAGACCTCGAGAAAAAGCTTAAGTCATCCATTAGTGTCTTCGGTAAGAGACGTGTCTTGGGCTATGAAGGACTTCATCTAATTTGTTTTCACTGCTGCAAATACGGACACCATATATAGAGATACATGTCCGGATAGGTGCGCTATGCCTGAAAAGAATGCCACCGCCTCGGTTCACGGAAATCCTGGTTCGACTAAGGACGCCGGAAATAACTAAACCTCTCAATGTCGCAGAAAATCCAAATCGTTTACCACTGTCTGCAATTACAATAACAACTACAGTTTCTCCAAAACATTCATAGGATCCTCCAAAATTTTGCATCATCATCACCTTCACCACCACCACCACTACCCATTTAAAATTCCACACTTCACTTGAATTTTCCATAGCCCATTTCTGAAAATCACAATGGCTTGTGTATTACGGTGTTCCAGACGCCAAAAAAAATGTTGTGGGGTGACAGCCATTGTTATTATTCTTCTTGTGGTGACTTTGGTCCTCTTGTTCCTCACAGTCTTCAAGCCGAAAGAACCTATTATCATCATACAACCAGTGAAGCTTGAAAGGTTGGATTTTGTAGCATCCCCTGATTTAAAATTAGAACTGAATGTGACATTAGGCGTAGTAGCCACAGTGAAGAATCGAAACCATGGAAGTTTTACTTACCAGGACAGTGCAGCTAACAGTATCTATGGAGGAAGTTTAGTGGGAGAAGCTCCGATCAATGGTGACACAGTGCCAGATCATGGAGAGCTTAATGTGAGCACAAGTTTGGCAGTTCAGGCAGATGAATTGTTCAAGAATGGGAATTTTCTTGATGATTATTTTAATAAAGGGGTTTTTGAATTTACATCAGCAAACACTTTACAAGGTAAAGTTAAGATCTTGAAGATCATCAAGAAGAAAGCCACAAGTTTGAGCACCTGTTATATCTCTGTGTTCGTCAAGACCAACACTATCAACTCTACCTGTCAAAATAAACTGGAATTTTAACTTTACTGTTTAGCATTTTTTTTATGTTTAGCTGAGTGCAATTCATGAAGTTGCTAACTTAAAATCAAATTCCTGTTACTTAATTCATGGACGTTATTGAAGTTTCTTGTGTATTCTTTTGCATTCTGAATTTGCAACCAATTTATCTTAAGTAGCTTTATTAAGAAGAAAATTGATATATGTTGTGAAAACTTTGTTAAACTCATTTTATGGTTATCATATTTAGTCACTTAGCTCCCCCCCCCCCCCAAATTATGACGTCCGATTCTTTTTGAGCAATAAAACTTAGGTTTCAAAAAGATCAATTTAATGACACTTAAGTCTAAAAAAATGTTGCTGGAAAAAGAGTTGGTAACTATGGTAGTTTTTATTTCACATTATAAGACATTTAATTATCATATTATTTGCAACTCATATTCTCATTTGGGATTGGCACTTTCCCTTATTTTTCTTAATTGGTAAAACTCTTGATTTTCATTATTCCCTACTCTTATGTTATGTTATTAGCATTCTTTCTTAACCACTTTTATACACGAACAGTTGAGCCTTTGCTGTTAAAGATGAACTTCCTTGTGTTAAAGAACAACGACGGTATAACTTTTTATAATTTAAATAGGTGAGGCCTCACATAAAGTTTGAAAAACAAGTTATAACATTCATAATTTTCAACCAATATAACATATGTATATTATATTTATATTGATAATACTGATATTAATACTATTGATATTTAAATTAAAAAATACAGTTGATATTAAAAATTGTCAATGACAAAAACGATGATAATTTTTTCTGGTTGAAATGAGGGTCCCACATTGATTATTTATAGATTTTTTTGGCCAAAATTGATTATTTATAGATGGCATCTTCAGCAAGGTCTTGTTTTTAAACCAATCGCAATAATATTTATGTGCAGATGGAACCTTTTGTTGGGCTGCCTTGAAGAAGTATGGCTTAATGAACAAGACCCATGTATGCAAGGCCCACCTCATTCAATTTTTTTTCCCACATAGATAGGTAATCATATTTGAGATACGGTCTGGTACTAAATACAGATACTTCTTATAAGAATTTGAGCATTGGTTCACCCCTCATTCAATTTGCAACTGAGAGAGAAAATCCAAATACATTTACACTAATAATATTATATCTTAATAACATGAAAGCTCTTTTATAAGTAGGAGGTTATGAATTCAATCTCCCATGTAATCTCAGGTGGTTAGCACTTACTCCTTAAATGAAAAATAAAATCTTAAAGGTTCGCTAGCAGTTCGGAGTTGGCTTCTCTTAATTTTCTTTTTCCTCCATTTTTTTCACTATTTATCTCAACTATTAAATCAAATTTGGCAATAATTTTTTAGCAGTTTAAATTTATTTATATACTTTTTATATTGTATATTTCAATAATAATTTTGCAACATATTGAATGTGAACTTGTTAAAATTTGATCTGCTGGTTGAGATGAGTAATGATTGGAAAATAGGAAGAAAAAATAAATAAATGGTGAAAAACTAGCTTGGTTAGCGAGAACTTAACCCATACTAAAAGCATGTAAAAATGGCACTGAAATTCCTTTGTGGTTTAGAAGCTGTTCGTAACAGTTTTAACAAGCATATTTACATTTTACGAAACAAAAACTCTTTCTTTTTATATGTTTATTTCATGTAGCAGATTAAAAAATACTTCATAATCGATCAATTTCTTTCACATGTGTATTTTATGTAACACAAAATCTTTTTCTTTTTTTTGAATTACTTCACCCGGTGTCCTGGCCAATCCCTCAGAGAATTACAAACCAGATTAATCCATGGGCGGCTACCCTACCACTTATACTGCTGCATGCTCAAAGGATCAAACCCGTTGACCTTTGGTTAAGCCGAAACAATCCCTTACCAGTTAATCCAAATGCTCGGTGGTATACAAAATCAATTTTTCATAATTAATAATGAATAGCTGTTGTTTTTTTTTTTAAATATCCTTATTAATCATATGCATTAGAATGAAAATCATTTAGTATGTGTAATCACCATAAGGACTATTAGTACTTTGATAAAAAATAAATAAATATGGAAGATAAAATGGATTGAGATTTTATATTTAGAACTTAATTAAATTTTTATTTAATTCCCATATTTAGAAACGGAGGTTGTTTTTTTGTTAGTGTTTTTTGAATTATGAAAATTTCCAGGCCCTTATCAAGGTTCCAGGATCTACCTGATCAAAATCTTCTTTAACCAAATATACTGGTTCTAAATATAAAACCTCAATCTATTTTACTTCTTATATTTATTTATTTTTTCTAAAATAATCCTTGTAATAGTTGCATATGTTAAAAGATTTATCAAATGATAGTTCTAGCTACGACATATAATTAGTAAAGGTATTTTAGAAAAGACAACATTTATTTACTACAAATAACTAAACTGATTTCCTTAATATATTCAAATTAAAATGTTAACTAATTCTTATATTAAGGACTGGATGTAACATATTATATTTAAACATGTCTAATTCAAATAAAATATTAAAACATTGTTTTCATAATTTTTTTTCTACCAGCACATTGTTTTCATAATTAATCGTATGCTATTGTAGTTGTATTTATATTTTCCGCGTTACTGTTATTAACGAAAAGCTGATGGTGAACAGAAAAATCCTAAAGCAATCAATTGGCTTTTGTCATCTTTTATTACAAAAAATGCCCACTTGTTTCACGAATCTTTGTTGAAGGGTATTTGGATAAAAACAAACCATAATTTAAAAAATAGCTTTTGAGAAAAAATTGGTAAAGTAAAAAAAATTATTTTGAGAATAGATTTTGTGAGAAAAAGTATTTTGATAACTTCAGAATGTTTAAATAATTGTTATTAAAATCACTTTTTCCATATGCCAAAAAAAAAGTTAACATGATAATTACATTAAAAAATAGATTTTAATTTATAATTTTGTTTGAAATAATAAATTTTTAAATAATCAATAATGATATATGAAAAAATATAATTAATTAATATTACTTTATGTCGTTAATATAAGAGCTAATTAGATATTCAATTTGATTCTAAATAAGATTCCAATTTACTTTATCTTACAACATTCATTCATTTTTTCCAAAATAGTGTTCATATTAACCTACACATGTTAAAGATTCCATTAAATAATAGTCTCAATGCACATAATTAACAAGTATTTTAAGAAATACAACACTTATTTATTAAAAATAACTAATTCAACTAATTTTGTTAATATTGACCAATTAATTATCTAGTTCTCATCTTATATTAAGGATAATAGGAAATGATTGATATGTGCATATATATTTTAAAAATATATATAAGATTTAAATATATTTTTATATCCCAAATCATGGTTTTATACCTCTAAAAAACAACAACAAAAAAGTCACTTATGAAAGACCCAAACCATGATTCTCAATTTAAAAGCGATTTTGCAATAAATTATTATGGCATTTGGTTTTTTTTTTTTTTCAAACCATGGTTTTCAGTCAAAAAGTGATTTTGCAAAAAAATTGACATGTTTAGATGGTAGAGTCTCCAAACCATGATTTTGCAATCCAAATTTACTTTCCTCCCAAAGACCCCATGCGAGAATTGTATACATTTAGAATCTAGCATTGTCTCAAACAGTCTTTCCACTTGTGATTTATTGGGGAAAAAATGGCCTGGGCTTGATCAGTCATTGTCTGTTTTCCTTTTTGTTGCTTTTATTTTTTTCTTCTCTGTTTTTGTTTTCTGGATACCATGATCCATCATTAATGTCTTATATATCCGCAAATAAATTATCTTTAGTCGAAATATGAACTGTGGTATCTTGGAGTGGAACAAGAAATTAGTTCATTACCTTTCACTTCACAGCTCAAGCATTTGTTGTGCCAAACTGAAATTAATATCTTGTTCCAATTTAGAGTGACATGACGATCCAGCCTTGTTTGCGATTGTGAGCATCTGATGTAACAATCTACTTTCATTACCTTCCAGTTTCTATCTCTAAATTTTTTTAAAATATATATATATATATATATATATATGCGCATGACTAAGTTAATTTAGTGCATCTTTGTGATAGAATTGGGAAGCTTAAATTCAGGAACAAAAAAGACTAATTAGATTAAAAAATCATGTTTAACATAGAAATTACGTAACATCAATTTAACTCGCAAGCTAATACCACTAAGAATGAGCATCATGTCATTAGGCCTAAGGATCTTTGGCCAATGGTATACACTCCCTCTGATCCTGAATGTAGGGTCTAGAATAATTAGTTTATAAAAATTTAAAAAATTAATTTAGTTATGTTTATAATAAATATGTATTGGTTTCTTTAAATAACTTTTAATCCTCCATATGACAAACATAACTATCCTCACTAATATATGCAATCAATAAGGTTGTTTAAGAAAAGAATTATCACTCTGGTTCTTAATAAGTTACTAGTACTTGTAGGGTACTTAATGATTTTTTTTTTTCAATCTCATCTTTATTTAATTTCTCATTAGAAAAAGCAAGAAAGTAGAGAGAAAGGTGAGGATGCTTTGTAAATGCAGGAAAAGAAAAAACTTTAATAAGACTAAATTTGAAAATTTTTATCAATTTAATGTATTCTTTGATATATGAGAATGTGTGAGTTACAAGTAACTTATAAAGATTACTGGAGTGGCATAGATTTGTGAAATAAAATGGATTAAAATCTTACATTTAAAACTAAAACAAACTTTTTTACTAACTCAAATCCCGGGTAATTCCCTGTTCTTAGTTACATCTAAGAATGGCCGGTGGGGATGATAGATCAATAACCCGTTTTTGGTGGGCCTCACAGATTTTTATCACAATGTATCATGAAGGGGAAAAAAATCAATCAAGAGAAATTTTTGCGCCACGAGAACTGTGAGGAAAAAGAAAAAACACGTTCAATATTTTCATTGGACAGAGCATGGATGACTTGACAATACAAGATAAAAGAGTATACAAGAATTTCTCCCACCA